GCTCCGCGCGCCAGGGGCGGCGCCGGCGATGCCGCCAGGGAGCCCCAGCGCCGACCCGAGACATCCGCGCGGACCTCTGAAAGTTTATGCTTCTGGAGTTTTTGTTCGTCCCCTATCCTCCGTCTTCCTCTTCCTCCCTCACTGCCTTTCGGATGCAACTCTTGGGAGGCCAAATTCTGTTGTTGCCCTGGTCCGAAATCTGGCTCAACCCCGCTTCATCCCGCTTAATCCTGCCTAATCCCGTTTCATCCTGCTTAATCCGCGGTTTAATCCAGCGCAGTACCCCCACGATGGGGCCTAATTCTCTTTAATCTTTCCGACGAAGACCCTCCCAGTAGTTGCCTCCTAATTTCCTCGTGGGAGCAGTGGGCACTTTTTTATCCCCTCCTGCCGTGTGGCCCTGCACTCGTCCTCGCTTCGCACAGGGCTCCGAGATGGACGGCCGCGGTCCCTCGACGGTGATCGTGACCAGCCCGAGGGCCAATCCTTGGCCGCACCCCCGCCCCTCCGTCGTCGTCGTCGTCGTCGTCGTCGTCGTCGTCGTCGTCGTCGTCGTCGTCGTCGTCATCGTCGTCGTCGTCGTCTTCCTGGTTGGGGGAGAAGGTGCCGAACAGCGCCCAGAGCCCAGCAAGGCGTGAGGGCACAAACCCGACTTGTCTGGCTGATGCTCTTGGGGTGGGCCTGTGCTCAGGGGAGGCTGCAGCACCGCTCAACGATGTGCTGTTTCACCGAACCTGCTCGGTGGATCCCTTCTCTACTCGGTTCCAGCGAGGCCTCTTCAGGCCCACATGCTGACGCGCGCGCGCGCGCGTCGTCGTCGTCGTCGTCGTCGTCGTCGTCGTCGTCGTCGAGGAAAAGGCGAAGGAGATGGAGGAGTCAGATACACATTTATTATGTCATGTATGTTTGCTGTTGCTGTTGCTGTTACTGTTGCTGTTGCGGCAGTATTATTATTTTTTGTAGTAGTAGTAGTAGTAGTAGTAGTAGTAGTAGTAGTAGTAGTATTAGTAGTAGTAACTGTTGTTGTTGTTGTTGCTGTTGTTGTTGTTGTAGTAGTAGTAGTTGTTGTTGTTGTTGTTGTTGTTGTTGTTGTTGTTGTTGTTGTTGTCGTTGTTGTTGTGGTTGTTGTGGTCGTTGTTGTTGCTGCTGCTGCTGTTGTTGTTGCTGTTGAATTTTCATTGCTGCACAATTATTATTGTTGGACCCCTTACAGGCGCCCTGGCGCTCTCGCCGAGGCGCCGGCTACATTTTCAATGAAAATGAGGCTCACGCTCGAGCGTTTTGGGGGTCCGCCACAACCGGCACCCCAACAACAACAACAACGTTCCCGCTCGAGACTTCCTCTTTCTTTACTCAGGGCTGGTGTTCCTCCTCGCCGCCGAAAGCCGCTGTCCTCACAAAACCAGCGCTCCCGCTCGAGCCCTCCTCCCGTTTTACCTTGGACTGGCGCACCAATCTTTTCCTTCATCGGCGCCGCCCCCAGCAACAACAACGCTCCCGCTCGAGGCTTCCTCCCTTTTTTGCTCGAGGCGGTGCTCCTCCTCGCCGCCGAAAACCGCCGCCCCGACAAAACCAGCGCTCCCGCCCGAGACTTCCTTCCGTTTTACGCTGGACTGGCGCCCTACTCTCTTTTGAAGTGGCGTCGCTCCCAGCAAGAACAACACTCCCTCTCAAGATTTCCTTCTCTTTCCCAACCATCCTGTGGTGTTGGGTCCTCGTTTTGAAGAGACGGTGCCCCGCGTTCCCGCCTCCTCCTTCATCCTCTCCCCCCTCCCCCTCCTCCCTCCTCCTCCCTCTCCTCCCTCCTCCCTGCGTTTCACCCACCCATTACAGCGTTTCCTGGCTCCATAGGGAGCTCCAGCAAAGGCCTCAGTGGCAGGGTCCGCATTCAGTTCCCTCCCCATTTCGGCGCACCCCTCACACGTTTCGTGGCCCCATAGGGTGCTCCGCGGAAGGCCCCAGTGGCAGGGTCCGCATGCAGTTCCACTTCCATTTCGGCGCACCCCTCACACGTTTCGTTACCCCATAGGGTGTTTCGCCAAAGGCCCCAGTGGCAGGGTCCGCATGCAGATCCATCCCCATTTCGGCGCACCCCTCACACGTTTCGTGGCCCCATAGGGTGCTCCGCGGAAGGCCCCAGTGGCAGGGTCCGCATGCAGTTCCACTTCCATTTCGGCGCACCCCTTCCACATTTCGTGGCCCCATAGGGTGCTCCGCCCAAGGCCCCAGTGACAGGGTCCGCATGCAGTTCCACCCCCATTTCGGCGTACCCCTCACACGTTTCGTGGCCCCATAGGGTGCTCCGCCGAAGGCCCCAGTGGCAGGGTCCGCATGCAGTTCCACCACCATTTCGGCGCACCCCTTCCACAGTTCGTGGCCCCATAGGGTGCTCCGCCCAAGGCCCCAGTGGCAGGGTCCGCATGCAGTTCCACCCCCATTTCGGCGCACCCCTCACACGTTTCGTGGCCCCATAAGGTGCTCCGCGGAAGGCCCCAGTGGCAGGGTGCGCATGCAGTTCCACCTGCATTTCGGCGTACCCCTGACACGTTTCGTGGCCTTATAGGGTGCTCCGCCCAAGGCCCCAGAGGCAGGGCCCGCATGCAGTTCCACTTCCATTTCGGCACACCCCTCACACGTACCGTGGCTCCATAGGGTGCTCCGCCGAAGGCCCCAGTGGCAGGGTCCGCATGCAGTTCCACCCCATTTCGGCGCACCCCTCACACATTTCGTGGCCCCATAGGGTGCTCCGTCGAAGGCCCTCGTGACAGGGTCCGCATGCAGTTCCACCCCCATCTCGGCGCACCCCTCACACGTTTCGTGGCCCCATAGGGTGCTCCGCCGAAGGCCCCAGTGGCAGGGTCCGCATGCAGTTCCACTCCCATGTCGGCGCACCTTCACACGTTTCGTGGCCCCATGGTGTGTTCCGCCGATGACCCCAGTGGCAGGGCCCGCATGCAGTTCCACCCCCATTTCGGCGCACCCCTCACACGTTTCGTGGCCCCATAGGGTGCTCCGCCGAAGGCCCTAGTGGCAAGGTCCGCATGCAGTTCCACCTCCATTGCGGCGCACCTCTCACACGTTTCGTGGCCCCATAGGGTGCTCCGCGGAAGGCCCCAGTGGCAGGGTCAGCATGCAGTTCCATCCCCATTTCGGCGCACCCCTCACACGTTTCGTGGCCCCATACGGTGCTCCGCCGTAGGCTCCAGTGGCAGGGTCCACATGCAGGTCCATCTCCATTTCGGCGCACCCCTCACACGTTTCGTTACCCCATAGGGTGCTCCGCGGAAGGCCCCCGTGGCAAGTCCGCATGCAGTTCCCCCTCCATGTCGGCGCACCCCTCACACGTTTCGTGGCCCCATGGAGTGTTCCACTTAGGGCCCCAGTGGCAGGTTCCGCATGCAGTTCCCCCTCCATTTCGGCGCACCCCTTCCACGTTTCGCGGCCACCAAAGGCCCTGGTGGCAGCGCCCGCACGTGGTTCCACCCTGCATTTCGTGGCCTCAGATGGGGCTGCACCGACGGCTCCTGTGGCAGCGTCCGCATGGCGTACCCGTGCCAATTTTGGCACACCCGTCACACGCGTCGTGGTCTCAGAGGGAAGTTCACCGAGGCCGATACCCACACCTGCGTTACACACAGCTGCACATGGTTGGGCCCTTCGCCGGGGTAATTTAATCGCTTCGCTCATTCCGCCGGCCCATACAGTCTGGGAGGCATCGCGCTCTGGGCGGCGTGCGGAAGCCATTGTGGGAGAGCTTTCTTGCGGCCTCTGGGGGCCGAGGGGCCGAAATGTTCGTCTAGCATCCTCGTCTGGGCTTCTCTTGGAGCCGTGGTGAGGCTGTTTTCGGATGTATTGGAGGCGCGTGGGGCCGTCTTGGAACACGCATGGGCCGTGTCGAGGTCATCTTTGGAACGTTGTGGGAGCCTCTGAGGGCCGAGAGCTAGAAGTGTTGTTTGGTGTTCCTTTTGGGGCGTCCTTGAGGCCCTCGTGGGCTGTCTAGGAGGCCTCTTGGCCTGTCTTGGAGCCCTGTTGGGCAGTCTTGGGGCGCTGTTGGGGAGTCTTGGGCCCCTCTTGGAAGCCTCTCGGGCCGATCTTGTAGCACATCGCTAGGCTTCTGGGGGGTCTCTTGGGACCTCTTAGGGGCCTCATGGCTCCTCTTGGGGGCTTCTTGGGGCCGACGGCTGGACATGTTGTTTTGCTTGCTTGCGTGCTGGGGGGTGGCATTTGGGGGCTCTCGTGAAGGCTTCTGGGGTGCCTCCTGGGACCTCTCAGGGGCCTCTGGGGTTCTCCTGGGGGCTTCGTAGGGGCGAAGGCTGGACATGTTGTTTCGCTTTCTTGCGAGCTGGGGGGTGGCATTTGGGGGGTCTCCTGAGGGCTTCTGGGGGGCCTCTTGGGACCTCTCAGGGGCCTCTGGGGTCCTCCTGGGGGCTTCTTAGGGCCGAGGGCTGGACATGTTGTGTCGTGTTCCCCCCCTGGGGCCGCTCTTGGGGCGTTCTTGGGGCCCTCTTGGGCCGTCTTGGGGCCCTCTGGGGCCGTTTTGGGGCCATCTTGGCTCGTCGTAAGGCCCTTGTGGGGGGCTCTTGGGCACTCTTGAAGCGGTCTTGGGGGCCTCTTGGGCCGTCGTCGGGCGTTGGAAAGCGGAAAGGGTGGGAATACCAAAACCTTACCAAAACCTAAGGAAAAGCAATGAATTTTGCCTATTGGGGCCCTCTTGGGAGTGCTCTTGGAGGCCTCCTGGGGCGTTTGGGGGCCATATGGAGTGTCTTGGAGCGATCTTGTGGCATCTCGGAGCCCTCTTGTAGCATCTTAGGGGCGTTTTGGGGCGTCTGGAGGCTCTCTGGAGGACCTCGAGGGCGGCACCCAGGAGGGATAACATCTCTGACGGGAACCTCCCGGGACCCTCCCGGGAGTCTCCCGGGACCCTGCCGGGGTATTTTTCGTGGGGAGACCCCCAGGGGCCGCCCCGCGCGCGCGAAGAAGAATATTGTAAAGCAGTCACCGGAGATCTTAGCACGCCTCTGGCCCGTTGGGCCGGCGAATTTCTGTGCCCCAGGGCCCGTTCAAAGGAGTTGGCCACCGCGCAGTGGGGGGCGGTAAACGACGGGGCAGCGAGGGCTCCAGAAAAGGGCGCCTTGACGGGTTGCTGTGAGCCCCAGGAGGCCCTTTAGGGCCCCAGAGGGGGCTTTCAGGGCCTGCAGGGTAGACCTTTCCCCCCCCCATCATCGGCCCCCAATTACGCGACGCCCAAAGGAGGCTCGACATGCGGATCCCCGAGCCTCGCGTGCGCAGCCGCATGTCATGCCAGCTCGCGGCCGGTGCCTTCGCGGCGCCCGAGTTGTTCCCGCGGGTGGAGCAGGCCAGCGGCAAGGCAGTTGGCAACCAGACGAGCGACATCGAGTCCACTTCCGTCCTCTCCGTGGAGTCCTCGATGCTTCCCAGGGCCTGCCTTGGGCTCCACGGGACCAGTGCTATGGTCGGTGAGGCCGAGCGGCCCCCCTGCACCTTGCTTGGGCACAATCGTCGCAGCGGCGAGGACCGCAAGGAGGATCTGACGAGTCCTGGCCAGGGCATCTCCCGCAGGTCGGGCGGGTGGCAATGGGGGGCGACCTGCGTGAGGGGTTGAGAAAAGGGCCCTGCAGAGGCCCCTTAGGCTTCAGGGTCCCTTGAGGAGCCAGCGGGGGCCCAAACGGAGCTTCCAAAAGGCCCCTGCAGGGTCCTTTGTCGGACGGGGCCAGGACAAAGACAGATCTGTTCCAGAGCGCTCCGGAGCGCTCTGGGCCGCGGCGCCCGAGACGTCCTCCAGAGCCGCCAGATCTCAGAGATCCGATTTGTCCTCACCCGATTTTGCCCTCGTCCTGGCGTCGTCTTACTTCTCTTCACCCCCCCATGAAGGTCACCCCCCACTGCCACCCGCCGGAGCAGGCCGCCCGTCTTCGACGAGCGTGAGAGGATCCCGTGCCCCCCTGGCCCCAGCCAGTTCGGCCGCGAGCCGGCTAGGCCCACGCTACCCGGAGAGGGGGCGCCAGGCTCGCCGCCGCCACGCCACTAGGTCGCTGTCGGCGATGGGTGGGAGGCGCCTGGCCTCCAGCAGCTGAGGCCGTTTTTTTGCGACAGGCGCAGACGGGGCCAGACGAAGACACGACACGCCACGGCGGCACGGACGATGACGAGACGACCGGCGGCGGCGCAGGGAGGGGAGGGCGGGAGTCGAAGAAGAAAGAAACGCTCTCGACATCTACTTTTTGGCGCTCCGCGCGGATTTCTTGGATCCGCGCTGGCCCCGCCCCCGGCGGCGCCTCCGGCACCGCCTCTGGCGCCCTCCACGCGCCAGAGGGGGGCGGGGGCCCAGCACAGGATCCGAGAAATCGGAGGGCGCCCGCACTAGGCGCGGCCCCCGTGCGCTCAAGGGAGCGCCGCGGCGGCCTCTGCGACGCGGCGCCGCGGCCAGCCAGCACGTCTGCGCCCACTCCGCCGCCGGGCGACGCCGATGCCGGCCGCCACAGGAGCGAAAGAAGGACGTACATGTACATGAATCCACGCTGGTTTCGTATAACGCGGCCGGTCTCGCGGATCGAGGGGCCGTGTTCATGTACATAGTTTGGCGCGTACGTCCTTTGTGGGCTCCCTATGGAGGGGCAGCCGAGGCCCGGCTTCTTGAGCAGCGGGGTGCAGTCGAGGTTGAAAGTGGCAGGGCTCGAGAGGACGCCATGGAGAGATGAGATCTTGGCGCTCCGCGCGGATTTCTTGAACCTGCGCTGGGGCCCCCTGGCGGCGCCTCCGGCGCCTCCACTGGCGCGCGGAGCGCGCCAGGGAGGGGGGTCCAGCGCAGATCCAAGAAATCCGCGCGGAGCGCAAAAAGTTTATGTTTCTGGCGTTCGTTCTTCTTCTAAGGTCGGCCCTGCCAGATCAAGGGTAACCTCGTGTCCTGTGGTTCGCGACCCATGCCCTCTGCATTTCTATGAAAGCGTGGCCCTCGGCGAGGGTCTTGTGTCCTCTCGCGTGTCCTCTCCAATCAACCTCAACTGTAACGCGCGGCCACGGACGGAGTCAGAGGCCCAGGCGAGTTGCCCTAATCATGGGTTTGGGGGAGCCGTCGTAAGGGGAGGATGGAGGAGAAGGAGGAGGAGCAGGGGAAGGGGGGAAGACGGAGGAGGGACGAGGAAACATAGGCAGATGAGGAATAGTAGGAGGAGAAGAAGAGGAGGAGGAGGAGGGCGAGCAGAAAGGCCAGAGGCCTCTCAGATGCCTCTCGGGATCTCTTCGGATGTCTCATCATCCTCTTGGGGAGTATAGGGGGCCTCTTGGCGGTCGCTGGGGCCTCTTGGAGCATCTTAGGTACCTTGGGGCAGCCTTTGTGCGCCTCGTGGGGGTCTCGTGGGAGCCTTTTGGGGGCTTCTTGGGGCCGTCTTGGCGCCTCCTGGGCGCCTCTTGGGACCCTCTTGGGGCCCTCTTGGGGCCCGCTTGGGAGCCTTGAGGGTCATCTTGGGGCCATCTTGGAGGAGTCCTCGCGGCTCCCTGGGGGGCTGCGAAGTGTGAAGTTGTCGCCAGTTTCGTGGGCTCCTGGGAGGCTCAGCGGAGTGGAGTTGTGATCGCACCCACCCGAGGCCGAGCTTCGAACTGTGCAATTGTCGCCATGTTCGTTGGCTCCTGGGAGGCTCAGAGGAGTGGAGTTGTAATCGCACCCACCCGATACCTCGCGGCTCCCTTGTGCGGGAGTTTCGAACTGTGCAATTGTCGCCATTTTCGTTGGCCCTTGGGAGGCTCAGAGGAGCGGAGTTGTAATCGCACCGAGCCGAGACCTCGCGGCTCCCTGGGTGGCTGCGAGGGGCACAATTGTCGCCACGGTGTGGGCTTCTGAGAGGCCCAGCGCAGTGAAGCTGTCAGCGCACCCAGCCGAGACCTCGCGGCTCCCTGGGGTGCAGCGAAGTGCGCAGCTGTCGCCACTCTCGTGGGCCTCTGGGAGGCCCAGCGGAGTGGAGTGGGTTTTGTATTGCTTTTGTGTGGGATGGTGGGCCGCTTGGGTGTCTCTTGGGGGCCTCTGGGCGCCTCTTGGGGGCCTCTGAGGCCGTCTTGGATTTTTCTGAACCATCTTGGGGCCCTCTTGGGGCGCTTCAGGGCCGTCTTGGAGGCCATCTTGGGCGTCTTGGAGGCCTCTTAGGCAGTCTTTGGGCCCTCTTGGGGCCGTCTTGGGGACGTCTTGGGCCGTCCTGGGACCATCTTGGAGGCCTCTCGGGCGCTCTTGGGGCGATCTTGATGGCCTCGTGGACCGCCTTGGGCCGTCGGAGGACCGAAAAGCAGCACATTCCAAACTCCGTCCAAATCCGAAAGAAAATATATGAATGTTGCCTTTCGGTGACCTCGCTTGGCACGTTTTGGCGTTCTCTTGGGGACCGCTGGGGCCGTCTTGGGCCTGCTTGAGGCCATCTTGGGCAATCGTGAGTGCATATTGGGCAGTTGTTCGACACATCTTGAATCAACGTTTAGTTTTCTTGGGGCCATCTTGGCTGTCTTGGAGGCCATCTTGGGCGTCTGATACATCTTCGCTGTCTGCTCTGTGCACGTTAGTCCAGGGGAGACGAGGGGACAAGGAGGATGAGGGGGAGGAGGAGAACATGAGGAGGAACAAGAGGATTCCGAGGTGGCGATTCGCCCTTGTGGAAGCGCCTATGCGGTCGACAGCTGGGTTAGAGCTTGGCCAAGCTAGCGGATCATGTGTTCCCCGAGTCGGTTTGGAAAGCCTTCGGGGAGCACTTGGGGGAGAAAGAGGAAGAGGAGGAGAAGGAGGAAAAAGGATCAGGAGGGAGTATGCCTCTTCGGAGCCTCTTGAGGCACTCTTGGGCTCGATTGAGCCATCTTGGTACCGTCTTGGAGGCCATGTTGGGCCTATCTTGGGATCTCGTAGAGCCTCTTGAGGGCCTCTTGGGGCCCTTTGGGGGCTTCTCGGGTGCCTCTTTGGCCGTCTTAGGGCGTTCCTGACCCGTCTGACGCCGTCGGGGGCCGTCTTGGGGGCTTCTCTGAACCGACTTGGGGCCCTCTTGGGGCGCTTCGGGGCCGTCTTGGATGCCATCTTGGGCGTCTTGGAGGCCTCTTGGGCCGTCTTGGGGCCCTCTTCGGGCCGTCTTGGAGGCCTCTTGGGCCGTCATAGGGCGCTCTTGGAGGCCTCAGGGCCGATCTTGGGGCGATCTTGGTGGGCTTCTTTGTGCCGTATTCAGCCGTCGGAATCCCGAAAAGATGCAACTGCCAAAATCCGTCAAACACGTGAGGAAAATCACTGATGTTGGCCTCTTCTGGCCCTCCTGGAGGAGCTCTTGGAGCATCTGGCAAGCCTCTTGGGGGCCCCTTGGGCCGTCTTAGGCCATCTGGAGGCTATCTTAGGCCGTCTTGGGTGCATCTTGGGCCGTCTTGGAGGCATATTGGGACCATCTTAGCCGCTTGGAGGCCATCTTGGGCGTCTTGGAGGCCTCTTAGGCCGTGTTTGGGCCCTCTTGGGGACGTCTTGGGCCGTCCTGGGACCATCTTGGAGGCCTCCGGGGCGCTCTTAGGGCGGTCTTGATGGCCTCGTGGACCGCCTCTGGCCGTCGGAGGACCGAAAAGCAGCAACTTCCAAACTCCTTCCAAAGCTGAAAGACAATTTGTGAAGGTTGCCAGTCTGGGGCAGGGAAGCCGTTTGCAACCGGGTCTTCCAGGTGGCCCGCGGCACGCGCCAGGGCCCCAGGGGGAGTGCCTGTGGAGCAGAGCAAGAGCCGAAACCGAAAGCATCCAGCACGCCAGGCACCCCCGCGACGACTCGGCAGGGGGCGGCGGACCCAGCCGTCTCCGGCAACGCCGCGTGCGGTCCAGGACTGCCCCGCTCCAGTTGTGCGGTTTGCTCACCGTTCTCCTCCAGCAGCGTTCCGAAGAGTCCGGCAACGATTTCTTTGCATATTCCAGCAAGAACACGCTGTTTTTCAGTTGGGTAGCATCCTCTAGGATATCGTTGTCACCATGGTGATAATTTCCAGGGGAATATGGATATCCACAATGGCCCAGCAGGTATTTCTGAGCTATTGCAAGTGCGCAATGAAGCTCTCAAGCCTACGGTTATGAGGTAAGGTTATTTCAGGGGCGTGGCTTGAGGGAGGTTGGGCGTCGAGCTCAGAGCAAGAGCTAGTGGTCCTCGCGCGTGCCCGAAGGTTGCCTCCGAAGGCCCCACCCCACGGCAGGGTGCGTGCTTTCTTTTGTTTTAATTTTGGGCTGGCTGTGGCTGCAGCCCACGCGGCGCCCCTGGGGGTGCGACGCACATCTGGTACATAAGTATGCTGGGGTGACCCCGAGGGGGGGCCCTCACTGTCCCAGGTTTGTCGCCGGTCAGGTGGGGGAGGGGGGACCCCGAGCAGGGGGAAGAGGGGGCTTGGAAGCGAGAAGACAACAATTCCTTCGTGGGATTCGACCTCAGCCCGCGCGGCCCGCGTGAAGTGCACGCTCGGCGGCGCTTTCAGGTTTGATCCTGCCCAGCCGTCTCCGGCAACTCCCGCCACCGTGCCAGCGCAGGACTCTGGGCTGCAGCTGTTCGAGAAGGCACGGGGTCCTGCGGCGCGCCGCGTGGGGCAGAGGCCTGGTCCGCGCAGAGGGCTCGGGGTCCTGCTGGGCACGCGAAGGCCTGATCTCGTCCAGATGCCTCGCGGGGGCCTCCTTGAGAGTCCCGGTGCCATCGTGGGTCGTCCTGGGACGTCGCTCGCTCGAGAAGGCGAGGACCCGAAACACACGTTGCAGAATCTGCAGGCAATCCGTCATGTTTGCCGCTCGGGGCCCTCTGGGGATGCCTCGGAGGCCTCGTGGGCCGTCTGGGAGCCATCCTGGGTAGTCTTGAGGCCGAAGCGGTCCGCCCTGGAGCGGCGCTGGGCCGTCTAGGAGGCAGCTGGGCCTCGGGAGCGCGAGGCCGTGGTCTTTTCCGAAGACTTGGCATCGCTCGGACGTGTGCATTTTTCTTGTGGCGAGGACCACCGAGGAGTATCCTTGTTCATGTGGTGAAACAAACCACGCGCGAAACCGACAAAAAGCACAGGGAATGGGCTGTGGCGGAGAGAGGAGGCGGTGCGTGCGGCTGGGCGCGTCCCGAGGGGTGGTGGCGGCCCTTGGAGAAGTACCCATCGGTCGTTGACAGTAGGTATTTTGGGATTCCCAGATTTCAATCTACGTTCAGCGCCTTCCTACCTCAAGAGTCGAGCGGTTGTCCCTCTTCCTTCCTCCTGAGGAGGTGGGCGGAAACCCAAGCTGTTTCCAGCGCCTTCCCACTTCATGTTTCTACCTGCTTCTTCCGACCGATGGGTACAGAAGCCCTACCGCATGGCATCTGGCATTCTAGCGCGCCCCAGCGTGCCGGGGGGCACGGTGGCGGATCGCGCGCGGAGCACGCCAGAATGGCACGCTCGCCAGCACGGCGGGCCTTTTTTTGGCGGGATATCGCCGCGAGGTGCACATGTGAGTTTGCGTGCAGTCTAGATGTGTGCTGCCCATGCCTGTGCTGTCTAGGGCTGCCCCGCTCCAGTCTTTTGGTTTGCTCCTGGATCTCCTCCAGGGTGCCGAAGAGTCCGGCAGGCATCCGAGAGGCCCTCGTGTGGGGTGCCAGCAGAGTTCCTTCTGGGGGTTGTTGTTCGAAGTCCTGGTAGATCTCACAGCTTCGAGCGATTCCACAGTGGGGCCGCCGCACCTTGATACAAGCTGTAGCATTGTAATTCGGGGATCCTCCTCGTTTGATGACTGGAAGCTTGATGGAGGTTGGGCGTCGAGCTCAGAGCAAGAGCTAGTCGTCCTCGCGCGTGCCCAAGGTTGCCTCCGAAGGCCCCACCCCACGGCAGGGTGCGTGCTCTCTTTTTTTAAAGTTTGGGCTGGCTGTGGCTACAGCCCACTCCGCGCTGGGCCCTTCCCCCGGCGCCGCCCCTTCACCTATCCAGGATCGCCCCACTCGCGGTCCGCTTCTTGGACCCTGGTGAATCTCACAGCTTCGAGCGATCCCACAGTGGAGTGGAGCCGCAGCACCTTGCACACCGCAGATAGTTAATCATATGAATCGTCGATTCCCCCCCCAGAAAAAATGTGGCCATCGGAAGGGGCTCGTGTCCTCTCTCGTGTCCTCTCCAATCCACCCCGACTGCAGAACGCCCCTCGGTTTATGTCGGGCGTGCCCCCTACAGGGGGATTTCCGACGAACAATAAAAATTCCCAAAAAGTGCCCCAAAAAGGTCAAACCATACCCCAAAAGTAGTCCCCAGACTATGTTTGGACTACGATTCGGCTATTCTTGGGGTATCTTTCATTCTTCGTCGAAGCTCCCCCCTGTAGGGGGACGGGCCCGACTTAACCCTCGGTCCTCCTCGGCCTGGCATCGCTCGGACGTGTGTATCTTTTTTCTCTCGGCGAGGATCCTTGAGGAGCATCCTGGATCATCGAGCGACAATAAGCACGCACGAAACCGAAAAACACAGTCGGGGCCCTGAAGAAGGAACCCTGTTGGGGAGGGGCTCCGTGTTCCTTGGTAGTTTCGCAGCTTGCCTTGGATTTTCCTTGTGTTTTCGGCTGGAAATCGAAGTTTAACTTGTGGAAAATAGGGGCCTCGTTCCTTATTTGAGGTTCCTTTTAGGTCAAGGCCCCGACTGTACACAGGACATGGACGTCCGAGCGACGGCAAGTCGGCCCTCCCTCGGGGGCAGCCGGTCGGGGGCACGGGCTCCGCGGGGGGACGCGCCGGCCCCCGACCGCCCAGGCGATCGCCGAGGGGGGCCCGAGGGCCGCGCCCGCCCAGGACCGCCCAGCGTCGCTATCAGGTTCAAGTGGGGGGATTTTCGACGGAACAACAAAAAAACGCCAAAAGTACCCCCAACATAGTCAACGCAAAAATGCCCCCAAACATACGCCCAAAATACCCCCAAAATACCCCAATACCTGTCCCGCTACAGGGGGATTCTCGACGAAAAATCAAAAAATCTTCCAAAAATAATCAAAACATAGTCCCAAAATAGTCCGGGAGCTATTTTTTTAGTACGTTTCACCTTTTGGGGGCATTTTGGGGATTCTTTTTGTTTTTCGTAGAAAATCCCCCTGAAGGGGGACAGGCCCGACTTAATGCTGGTCGCGGATCCCTCGGCGATTCATCGCCAATGCCATGTCGACGTCTCCCCCTGGGAGCATGTTCCCTCCCGACGTCCCCGTCGCCCCCACAGTCTCCACACGAGACAGCCCAGGAGGGGCCACAGTGCACTCCACGGTGCTTCTGAGATCTCCAGAGGGCCCCAGCGGCCCCCCAACACCACTCACTTGCAAGCCGTACCAAACAAACTGGCTCAAGCTGCTTCTGGCTCAGCCGTTGGGCGAAGCACTGTATTACCGTCCGGAGGGAGCCTAGCGGCGACCAGTTGGGGCGAAGCACCCTGTGCAACCCCAGAGGATCCCCACTCCAGGCACCGCGGGGATGGAGCAGCGACCAAGGCCGGGCGAGAATCTCCCTTATGTCAGTGAGCAGCGACCAAGGCCAACGTTGGCGTGGGCGGAGGCATCCAGCGTGGCGCCCGCACCGAGGCAGCCCTCGACTCCCAGGATGGCCCGCGGGCGCCCCCGCGGAATGGGCCACGGCGGGGCCGTGCCGGGCCGGGGCGACCTCGGTCCCAATGCAGATCCGCAGGCCTCGTGCGCTCCCACCTCCCCAGAGTTCGGCACCTGCGACTCCCGAAGACCTTCCCTATATAAGGATCAGGAGGGAAAGAAACGCACAGACACAATTAATCGTCGATTCCCAGGAAAGTATGGGGAAATATGGGAAGTGGGGGGGAAGACAAAAACCCAGAACATACAGTAAAATATAGGGAATCTTTTTATTTGTGTGTATTTATTTAATCGCTTCGCTCATTCCGCCGGCGCATACAGTCTGGGAGGCATCGCGCTCTGGGCGGCGTGCGGAAGCCATTGTGGGAGAGCTTTCTTGCGGCCTGTGGGGGCCGAGGGGCCGAAATGTTCGTCTAGCATCCTCGTCTGGGCTTCTCTTGGAGCCGTAGTGAGGCTGTTTTCGGATGTATTGGAGGCGCGTGGGGCCGTCTTGGAACACGCATGGGCCGTGTCGAGGTCATCTTTGGAACGTTGTGGGAGCCTCTGAGGGCCGAGAGCTAGAAGTGTTGTTTGGTGTTCCTTTTGGGGCGGCCGTCTTGGTTTGGACCAGGTTTGGGCTCTCTGTCCTGGGCCGTCGGGGGGCCCTCTTGGACGACCTGGCGGCTTGGCGACTCGGGAATCCAGCAACTGGGCGGCTCGGAGATCGTTTGGGCGTCTTGGGGCCCTCCTTGGCGCCATTGTCGCACCGAGGTCTCCCGAGGCGTCTCGGCGGAGCCGTCTTGGGGTGGCCTGCTCGCGCTGTGAGCGAAGGTGTCTTGGAGCTCTTTCGGGCGGTCTTGGGGCCAAACGATTTTTTTCTGGGGGGTCCTTTGGGGCCCGCTCGTGCGCAGAATGGGTGGTGAGCGGGGTGACGATCGATGAAGGTAAACAACTGCAGCAACGGCGCATGCGAATGAGCCGTAAGGGCGAGTACAGTTCAGCTGGCGGCGCATAACAGCGAACCACCTTCTACGGGTGGGCGCCAGGGGAGGGAAGCAAAGCAGCACCGCAGGGAGGAGAGGGAGGGATCTAGCAGGACCACGATTCAAAAGTGCAGCTGCCATCACGGGGCCGAGCTGGCTCAGATAGCCGCAGGCGGTGCTGGACGCACAGGGGGCGCGGTCGCCGACCGTGGGCCGGAGCGATGCGTCCACAGCACTTCAAGCCGCTGGGCGTGGGCCAGGCAGGGCCCCCTGGGCCAGTCCCCTCCTCCTCCTCCCCCCTCCTCCCCCCTCCTCCTCCTCATCCTCCGCCTCCTCCTCCTCCTCCTCCCCCCTCCTCCCCCTCCTCCTCCTCCTCTCCGCCTCCTCCTCCCCCTCCTCTCCCTCTCCTCCTCCTCCTCCCCCTCCTCCTCCTCCTCCTCCTCCTCCCCCTCCTCCCCCTCCCCTCCCTCCTCCCCCTCCTCCTCCTTCTTCTTCGTCTTGTTCTTCTTCTCCTTCTTTTTCTTATTCTTATTATTCTTTTTCTCCTCCTTATTCGTCTTCTTCTTCTTCTTCTTCTTCTTTTTGTTATTGTTCTTATTATTCTTCCTCTTCCTCCTCCTCCCTCTTCTTCGTCTTCTTCTTTTTTATTGTTATTATTTTTCTTCTTAGTGTCTTTTTTTTCTCTTCTTCTTCGTCTTCTTCTTCTCTTTCTTCTTCTTCTTCTTCTTTTCTCCTCCTCCTCTTCTCCCTCCTCGTCCCCCTGGGTGGGCCTCGATTCCGATTCGATTCGATTCGGTACGCTTCACGAGCGTCGGCCGAGGCCTGCCAGAACCAGGAGGCGTCGATCGGTTCCGATCCGCTCTGGGGCGAGCCGCTGGCGAGCCGATTCGTTTTTTTTTTTTTTTTTTTTTTTCTCTGGCCTAGTCTGTTCCGACCTCGCGAGTCGATCCAGCTCAGGCCTGCCAGGCAGAGCCGGGCGACGACGAGGCCAGCGCTGGGCTTGAGCAGCCAGCCGGCGCCCAGAGCGCCTCCCGCCGGCTCGGCCTGGCCGCCTCCGCGGTGTGCCTCGCGGGGGCGGGCGCCGTGCTCTTGGTGGCGCAGGTGAAGGGGCGCCCCGCGACGCTGCGCACGGAGGCTGGCGCCCTCGTCCTGGCCGAGGACGGCGCAGAAGGCCCCAGAGGAGGAGGAGGAGGAGGAGGAGGAGGAGGAGGAGGAGGAGGAGGAAGGAGGAGGAGGAGGAGGAGGAGGAGGAGGAGGATGAGAGGAGGAGGAGAGGAGAGAGGAGAGGAGAGGAGGAGGAGGAGGAGGAGGAGGAGGAGGAGGAGGGAGGAGGAGGAGGAGGAGGAGGAGGAGGAGAGGAGGAGAGCAGGAGGAGGAGCAGGAGGAGGAGCAGGAGGAGGAGCGGAGGAGGAGGAGGAGGAGGAGGAGGAGGATGAGGAGGAGGAGGAGGAGGAGGAGGAGAGGAGAGGAGCGGAGGAGGAGGAGGAGGAGGAGGTGGTGGAGGGTGGAGGTGGAGTGGAGGAGGCGGAGGAGGAGGAGGAGGAGAGGAGGAGGAGGAGGAGGAGGAGGAGGAGGAGGAGGAGGAGGGGGGAGGGAGGGAGGGGAGGGAGGGGAGGGAGGAGGGAGGGAGGGAGGGAGGAGGAGGAGGAGGAAGGAGGAGGAGAGAGAGGAGGAGAGGGAGGGGGAGGGAGGAGGAGGAGGAGGAGGAGGAGGAGGAGGAGGAGGAGGAGGAGGAGGAGGAGGAGGAGGAGGAGGAGGAGGGAGGAGGAGGCGGAGGAGAGTAGGGGAGGGAGGAAGTAGGAGGAGGAGGAGCCGGAGGAGGAGGAGGAGGAGGCGGAGGAGGAGGGGCAGGAGGAGGAGGATGAGTAGGCAGAGGATGAGGTCTGATTCGTAGTAGGCGCGAGGAGGGGAGGAGAGGAGGAGGAGGAGGAGGAGGCGGAGGAGGAGGAGGAGGAGGAGGAGGAGGAGGAAGAGGTGGTGGTAGTGGTGGTGGAGGAGGAGGAGTTGCTGTTGGTGGTGGTGGAGGAGGAGGAGGAAGAGGAGGAGGACGCGCAGAGGGGCTCGGTAGCAGCCAAGGAACACCCTGCTGGCCTTCAGGGTGCCCTGAGTTTCTTGGGTTTCGATTGTTTTGCTGTAAGGCGTGACGTGCCCACAGCAACAATCCATGGACGTCCTGGGATCTCCGGGTTGGGTTTCTTGTGGAAGGTCTCTTATGGTCGAGCTCCTACTGTACCACTCCGCCGAATCACGCGCAGAGGGGCTGGATAGCAAATCATGGGAGCCTGGTGTACGCTCTTCATTCCGTCTTTAGAGCGTCGATTGGTGTCGATCAGCGTTTGGGAGTCGATGAGGTAGCGCCGATTTAGTGTCGGTTAGCGTCGATTTAGCGTCGATTTGTAAAAGCCGACCAGATGGTATGGGAGGCTCCCGTGAGGTGCCACCGAAGAGGGGGGTAGGGGGAAGGGGGCGGCTTTCCAGAAGCACCCCTGCTTCTTAGAAGGCGTGGGCCTCGTCGTATGTAGGGCCAGCAGCTTCTAAGAGGCAGCCTCCTTCTGAGAAGCCACTAGCTGGAACATACCACTGTCCCTATGACTGGCATCACCCGATCTCGGTATCGATCCTGAGGATTCCCTCCGTTTCTGAGGGCGTGCCCCTGAGGTCATCATCGCTTTCTGGCTCGCCTGCCGGGATCTGCTCGAGGCTGGTTGCGGTCGTGCGAGAGGGGCCCAAGCGTGCTCGGGCCGTGAGCAAGACCACGCCGGGAGGCTTGCTATTCCTCCTGGCCTCCATCTGGGGGCTCTCGGCAGGCCCCGCGAGCGCCGAGCGCGACCCGCGCTGGTCCCGGGGAGGGCGCCGGGGCCTCCCGGGCACCGCGCCCTGGAAGCGCCAGGACGCCGCCGGTCCGGGGGGCAGGAGCGTGACTCGGGGGGGGCTCTGGACGCTGGTGCGTGCACCACTGGGGGCCACCTCGCTCGAGCGAAGGGAGCCGCCCCACGCCCCCCCTTCCGAACTCGTGGGGGGTATAGGAGTATAGGGTTCGCACGTGGCCCCCCGGCAGCCCGGCCCAGCCCCGCCGCCGGGCGCCGAGAGCTCCAAGAGGCCCCCAGGAGGCGCTCCGGGCGGCTCCCGGGGGCCTCGTGGAGCCTCCCATGCGCTCGTGGGAGTCTCGGGGGCCTCGCGGGGCGTCGTCGGCGCTGGGTACATCTGGGCCCAGACCCCCGACGTCGTGATTTTTTCACGACGTCGCCCCCCAGAGGTCTGGACCCCTTCCCCGGGACCGCTTTTTCGTCCTGCATCGTTTTTTGACGGTCCCGAGGCCTGGGAAGGGCCCCCAGAGGGCGAAACTAGCGAAAAACCTCCCGTCGTGATTTTTTCACGACGCCAGGAGGTCTGGGGGGCCAGTCTTGGGAGCTCGTTGGAGCTTGCTCGGGGCGCCTCCCGGCGCCGGCGAGGCCGCCGGGCGAGCGCCGGCTGCGCGAGAGCCGGTGCCTGGCGGGTGCCCCGTCCGCCCTCCGGCCAGCCCGGCAGGCGAGGGGTGCTACACGGCGCACGAGGGCGACGACTGCTTCGAGAACGTCAGGTGGCACATGCGGGATCTCGGCCTCGCTCAGACCCAGACCTCCAACGTATTGAAAAAATCAAGACGGAGGTTTTTCTCGATTTTCGTCCTCCAGGGGCCCTCGCCGGGCCCCGGGACCGTCAAAAAACGACTCGGGATGAGAAACCAGTCCTGGGGAATGGGTCGAGACTTCGGGGGACCGCGTATTGAAAAAATCAGGACATCGGATCTCTGGGGACAGTATAGTGGAAGGCGCCCGGTGAAGATGGCATACCATCTTCACCGGGCGCCTTCCACTATACTCGCAGAGTGCCCACTCGCAAGCGCCCGCAAAGCACATGTCTGTTTCTGCGTCATTTATCGCAGAGCCCCCGCGGCGGAGCCAGGTGGTTTGCGAGTAGCTACACTGCGAGTATTGGAGCGCGCTCGTCTAGACATGTACTTCTGCTATGTGTGCGTCGCTCCCCAGGCACACTCAGGTGAGAACTCTTTCACTGCTGCGTGGCCTTTCCTTCTGCTCCTCCCCCCCCTGCGGCCGCCTGCTCTGTCCTCTTCCCACTCTTGCATGCTGGCGAATTCGCTCTTCGGTGCCCCCGTCTAGCTCTATCGCTGGTGCTGTGACCTCAGCCTCGCCGCCGACCGAAAAAGCGTCGTCTCCACAGGCGCGACGCGCGCGCAGAATTCTTCTGGCATGTACTCGGTTGTGGGCACTGATGTATACCGTAGGATGTTTGTGCCGTGTGTCTGGTTTGGACGTGCGCCTCCAAGGAGGAGGAGGAGGAGGAGGAGGAGGAGGAGGAGGAGGAGGAGGAGGGAGGAGGAGGAGGAGGATGAGGAGGAGGAGGAGGAGGAGAGGAGGAGGATGAGGAGGGGAGGAGGAGGAGGGAGGAGGGAGGAGTGGGAGGGAGGAGGGAGTATGGAGGAGGGAGGAGGGAGGAGGGAGGATGGATGAGGGAGGAGGGAGAGGGTAGGAGCAGGAGGAGGAGGAGGAGGAGAGGAGGAGGAGGAGGAGGAGGAGAGGATGAGAGGAGGAGCGAGGGAGGAGAGGAGGAGGAGGAGCTAGGATGAGTGAGTAGGAGGAGGAGGATGAGGAGGAGGAGGAGGAGGAGGAGGAGGAGGAGGAGGAGGAGGAGAGGAGGAGGAGGAGGAAGGAGGAGGAGGAGGAGGAGGGGAAGACCTGCTCCCTAGGACCTGAAGAACCACCCCAAGTGGTACGGAGACCTGAACCTGGCGTCCACCTTTGAGGACTTCCAGACCTGGGTCCACAGCGGCAGCCCGACCACCTGCCCCAGGCCCTGTGGCAAGGGCGCCGCCCCGCAGCAGGACAAGAAGCCGGCGGCGGCGGCCAGGGCGGCTGGAACCACGGAGCAGCCCGAGGAGCTCCCGGCCGAGCCCCTGGAGGAGAGTCTGTCGGCGGCGAGCGAGGGGGAGGGGGACTGCTCAGAAGGCCTCACGCCTTCGAGAGAGGCTGTCTCAGAAGACTGCGAGCCCCTCGAAGAGGCCACCCCCTGCCTTCTTTGAAGCCTCCCCGTCGCTCCACCCCTTTGTGCGCTGCGCTTAGGTCGGCGACGAGCGAGGGTGGGAAGCGAGAAGGAGAAGCCTTCTCAGCAGGCGGCGGAACTTGACGGAAGCCCTCGCACCTGCAGAGAGGCTTTCTCTGTCTCCAGGGAAGGCTTACGCAGAATAGAAACGAGAGCAACAACGAAGACGGAGGGAAAGCCTAGGTTCGTCCTTCCCTGGAGGAGAGTCTGAAGTCGACGGAGAAAAACGCTGTAAGCACTTCTGGCGCTCCGCGCGGAATTCTTGCATCGGCGCCGGGCCCCCCCCTGGCGGCGCCGGAGCGCGCTCCGCCCGCCAGGGAAGATGGTCCAGCGCGGATGGACGAAGTCCAGACGATACCGAAAGCTTAGCGCTGCACGCCCCTCCTCGCTATGGCTGGATTCGCCTCGACATCCCGGTCAGAGCGCGCCCCTGGAGAGGTCGGGGGGTTAGCGGTGTGGTGGCACTTGCTCGCCTCCCCGAGATGCAGCTTGAGCGGACACTTTGGGAGGTCAGCGCCCTGGGTCGTCGCTGGACCCCCTCGCCGAGCGCGCCAGGGAACGGGTGTTGGGAGTGGGGTCCAGCGCTGACCCAAGGGGGCGGTCGTCAGAGAGTTGATTCCCTGAGCAGTTTGTCTCGTCTCACATGGTCTTCCCCTGTCCCTGTCCCTATCCCTGTCCCTATGCCTACACCCATTGTCCCCCGCTGTCTCCCACTGTCTATTCTTATTATTGTCCCCATCCCTCTCTATCCCCATCCCTATCATTATCTCTATTCCTGTCCCTGTGTCTATACCTAGCCATCTCCCTCTCCCTCTTCTTCTTCCCATCCCTGTACCTATCCCTATCCCTATCCCTGATATCCCCCTTCATCTCTATCCTACATCCCCATCCTCATCCCCATCCCTCCCCCTTTCCCCATCCCTCCTGCCGCCCACATCCCTAACCCTCTATCTGTATCCCTGCATCCCTGGCCATCCATCCCTGTCCCTACCCCTGTCCGTGCCCCTGCTCCGATGCCCTCCTCGTGGCCCCCCATGGCGGGGCCACACCGCGCTCCCCCGTCGTGCCCCCCTCTCGTCCCCGTGGGAAGCTGCCTGGGGGACTTCTGCCGCCGAAGCCGTCGTGCCTCTGCAGGCCTCCTCCGGCCTCCGCAGGACGACGACGAGGCAGGCGAGGAGGACGAGCAGGACGAGCCTGCCCGGGACGCGGCGGCAGAGGCGGGCGCCGCCGCCGCGGAGGAACCCAGGGGAGGCAGACGCCAGCGTCGAGCCGCAGAGCGGGGCCGAGCAGGGGCTGGCAACGCGCACAGCGGGTTTCACCGGGTCTCCGACCGTGCTTTCTTTCGGCGACTTGGATCCGTCACGTGAAGCGAGTCGGAGGAGGAGTAGGAGGAGGAGGGTGTAAAGAGGAGCAGGAGGAGGAGGAGGAGGAGGAGGAGGAGGAGGAGGAGGAGGGGAGAGGAGGGGGGGAGGAGGAGGAGGAGGAGGAGGAGGA